TTCCTAAGAAGTACCTTTACAGAAAGCTTGGATCAGTATATGGATTTTTTGAGTTTGTTCGGAGGGAAACATGATAGTCCGTTGTATGGTATGTTGTTGAGTCTTGTACTATCCTGTACCATCTTGGTATTTCATCAATAAGAACTTATCAAAATAAAATTCTAATTGGCCGAGACTCTTTTATGGGATTAATAATCCCATTTCAGCTTATAATTAAGTAGTTCCTTAATTTAGCATAATAAGTGGAGTAGCGATTGGATTCTGCTATTGGTTTTTTTTTGTTGTTGGTATCAGAACGAAATAAGTCATCCCTGTGGACCAGGCACATATTATCTTATTAACTTGTGGACTGGACTGAAGAAACGGGATAGGGTGTTATTGTATTTACTTGGAACTTTTCAGTTAGAGGTGTCTTGCTCAGTATGACCTGATAGGCAAAATTGAATATGTTTTTGTTGTTTGGTTCATGTCGTTCTCTTCTAGTTTGTTTTTCGACATAACTTCCCTGACTTTAGCTTTTATTTAGTTAGTTTTGCTTTAAGTCCCTGGTGTGTGTGAGACATTCACTTTACTTTCAGCAGATTTTGATGTTAGTTAACTGTCAAATAACCGAAAAATGTGTTGCTATTTTTTTCCAATAGGAAACACAATCTATGCTATTGAAGGTGATTTAGATGGTTTTGCTCCATGCAGTGTGAACTGCAAGCTTGTTGGGGTATTTTTTCTCACTTTCTCAACCTTGATGTTCTACTTTTCAGGAGTTTGGATGATGTTCGAATGAATTTTGAAGTACTAAAATACTGTGCAACTGTCTTGTTTTTGGTAAGCTGTTCCTCGACCGTACTTTTGTTTTTTTTCTCTTCCAGTCTAGGTTGCTAATATTAACAATGATTCTCAAACTTGGAGAATCTTGAGCGTTTGGATATGAATTGATTGATATTTGGAAAAAAGTATTATTTGAAGTTAAGTTCGAAAAAAGATACTTGGAAGTCTAATTTGACATGCTTTTGTTTTTTCTTTTCGTTGCATTGTTTTCCTTTTTCCTATTTGTCCATACGGCCAGCCATATGTGTTAGAATTACGGAGAAACAGATCTAAAGGAAGTGTACTATTTTTCTTTCTTTCATATCTTAGGGCCTATTGCCGCAATGTCATAACTGTAGACTACTTGCATTAGATTGTTATACCTTCCCTTTGTGTAACTTCATCCTTGGTTAGCCCCTCCTACACCCTCTACCCCAATGCCTCAACTTCAATAAATGAAGAGGGAAAAAGTTAAAAGAAAACCTGACACCCAAAGCAAGTATGGTCTGCAGCTGGAAAAATTCTCAACCATTCTCTTCTGAGTTCTTTACACGAATCTCTTTTTGTAAATTAAGGCAATATTCCTTCTGCCTGCCTTAACTGAGGTGTGAATTGGCTTTTGAAACTGACAACTTCGACAGGCTAGAATTCAGCATCAAGTGTAATATGATGGAAAAATCTGTGTTATTATGTTTAATGGTTGCATGAAAATATATGAGAAAGAGGAACTACTCCATTACTTGGAACAAGATTACTGCAAGCCTTTCAGTTTAAGCTATGCAGTGCGGATGCTGAGCCTCTGATTTTGATTATTGGGGCCACCTTTTGACAGGCTGTCCAATTTGGACTTGCAAAAGGGCTTTAGAGCATAGTTGCATATTTGTTGATAAAATTAAAATGTTGAATCAAAGTTGAAGCTCAAGAACTGATCAAAGATGAACCCAAGAAAAGCAAGTGAATTGTTGCAAATCTAAAGTAAACATAGAAGTGTCAACTCACTAACAGCTTAAACTTTTGTTGAGTCATATGGTTCAAAATGGTATCAGATCTGGAGCTCAAATCTTAAGACAATTCTTCAGAGATCTAAAACAAATTATAAAAATGTCATTTCTCTTCCTCTAAAAAAAATCATTTCTCTTACAGACAAGCTTTTAGATACGGCAGTTGACACTGTACAATCTAACTGCATGGCCATGCTACCGCATCTTACGAGGATATATATTGATATTTTTCTCTCATTTCCAGAACTTATGTTCTGAGCCGAATAGACAATTGAACTTTGCCGTGGGTTGAATAGCTAAATTGTTGTACCTGCAGGAATCCAGCCTGCCTGAGATATTAACTGAGAACAGTTGGGTGTCTCCTAATACTGCTATAAGAAGTCGCACTAACGGAAATGCTGTTCTGGAGGGGATGGGCTCCAGTACAGATATACCTTCATCGAGTGTCAAGATAGAAAGTCTGAAATCTATTGCAGAAGACAACATAGAATCAGATCATCCAATATTTCCACTTGTAAGCAGAAATGTGGAGATACCACATCTTCCTGAAACAAATTCCTCTAGGCCCGACGCTTTTAACTTGGTCCAATTGAGCGCCGAAGTAAGGGAATCCATTCAGTTAGACGACATGGAAGAAGAACCTGGTTCAGCAGATTCTCGACAATCTTCTGCATCAACTGCAACAGGAGGTTACATTGGCTGCACTGACTTCTTAGAACCAAATAATATTTCAATTTCTTCTGTCTCCGTAATTCTAGCGCCCTTTTATCGTGGGACTCAGAAGCTACAAATCTTGTACAACAATGCTGAATTGCAAGTTTGCTCTAGATCCCTGAAGGTGCGGTTTGGAATTAGTACTAGGTTTGTTGATTATGCTGGTCGGCCACGGTTGAGTTTTGTGGTGGAGGCATCATCAGACCTATGCCAACTTTTGGATGCAATTGATAATCTTGTGCAGAAATTAAATGAGGATACAGGTAGCATGTCAGAATGGAGGCCTGTGGTAAGCAGAAAGCCTGGCTTTATGAACTGTCCTACCATTCGTTTAAAGTAAGTTCTGAACTTCCTTTCTTTCTTTCCCAGACAAGTGAATCTGCCAATTTTTCCTGTTATTAGAGACCAGGAGAGCTTTTACTTGTACTGTATTTTCCTGGTATGCCCTTGATGCATATGAGATCAAATTTTCCTTTTCCGTTATGCTTTCTAATGTAAGATCAGACATGTCTGCTAGTGCATATGCTAGTCTTCCTTAAGATTTTCCAACCTGATGCACAAGTAATAGATGAGCTTTTAGTGCATGGCTAATCCAGGCTTTCCTAATTTCTATTGAAAGTATTATGATATTTTGTCTCTCCTGTCGTTCACACCTCCACAGCTCCACTTACCAGGACAACGAGCCCTTTTACTGAATCAATATCCCTCTCACGCTTCAAACTGATATTATACTGTATGTGTGCAGTTTACCAACTGCGGTGGATGCTAATATCTCTCGCTGGGTCACAGAGATATACCAGAAAGAGTCTTCCACAACACAGAAGCTCATGTTCAATAGGTTTGATGTGGCAGAACTGGATTCCTTGATTACACCAGGAACTCTGTTGGATGCATATTTCTCGGTGGATTCATACGACTACCAACAGACTGCAGGCATCCGCTTGGTGGCGAAAAAGTTAGTTGTGCATTCCTCCTGATCGATGAGGTGCCTCATTGACAGGATAACTTAAGTGTCTTTACAATTTGCTTCTGATGGCTATGTAGTTCTCTAATGAGGGAGTAGCCTGTACTGTCTGACAAAAATGACATTGCTTCCTCTAATCTCATATATTGGGTGATTTTTCAACTTATTACAAGTATGAATGACCTTTATACACATCCCTCTGTTGTTTGTCTTAACATCCGAGTGACTTAATGCAGCAATAGATATAGCTCTACAGAAATAAAAAGGTCAAGATACGCGTAATTTTTTATTGAACTTTTCTCTGACAAGCTTTACAAGAAGGAGAAGGGTATGGCATCGTATATAATGTTTTGATCACAAGTAGGGATAAAATTTGTATCAGATCCAAAAGGGAGCCGTCCTTTCGGAAGGAAAGTAGATGATCCTGTTAGTTTCTATCATAAACAAGTTAGGTAATGCAAGGTCCCCCTAGTGTTAAGCAACGGGATGGTAAAGTGTTTTTGCGTTGGATACTCTTTGCTATCAAGTAGTTACACTTCGGTCTCTTTCTATCCTGAATCGGAAATGAAGCCGGTCATTCTTCTCTGCATTTCAGTTCGACTCACAATTCACTTCTGATTCCGTGTTCCATAGCCTGACGATACAGGCGTGGATGCAAAAGAACTCAGCGAGTGAAATGTGCGTGCTAGGCTTTGTTCTTATTGCTTTGGAATCCGATCTATACGACATAACCTTCTCGATAATGGCTCAGTTGTGGGAAGAGTTGGTGCTATTGTGGGAAGACCTTCTAACCTGGAATTGCCGCTTCCCTTTAAACAAGTTGTGCTTCAGAAAACAACATATAACATTTTCTGGAGTTCATCTTCAAAAGCATTGGTCTCAAAGTATGATGCAAAAAGAAGAGATAATTGCAACTTTAGTCTCCTTCAGTACAGTTATAGCAAACTCTTCGGTCCTTTTCCCCGCCCATTTAGTCGATGCTTTACATTCTACAAAACATGTTAAATTCATAGCCATGGAATAATCCCCTAATCTCTCCCCTACTTAGAATAAATAAGCCCTAATAGTACCCAAAAGGGGAAATAATTTTGCTACAAAAAGAAAAAGGAAAAGGGATTCATGAGCTCAAGCCACTTCAAATTCGGCACCTTAGCCTAACTGTTCCATTACGCAAATATTTGATAAAAGTATACAAGTTCATCCCTATAATAAATAGCTTTTGTAGATTGAAGTGGCAGAAACAATAACCAGCTTACCTGTCTACACATAAAAAAAGGTTTAAATGTGAAGGACAATTGCAGGGTACATTTTTGACATGGCGTACCCTGGCGAAGAAGATTAAATGAGAAATCCAACATTTTGTAATTACTTTGAAGACAGGCACAATGTTCAAGGACAACCATCTACCATATAACTTAAGACAATCACTCGAGCTAGATGAACTCCCAACAGACGAAAATTTCTAAATCGTCTTGGAGTTTATCTAATCCATCATCTGGAAAGAGATCCAATGTAAGTTTACGAATTCTTACATCAATTGAAAGGACAAATAGGAGCAATATCAGGACCAATGCAAGGGAGGGCGTCTTGGGGTAAGGTAAAGCAAAGAAATTACTTAGTTGCATAGACTTAAATACACGCTACTCGTAATCAGTCAGGGATCACAAGATCCAGACATGTTAATTGACAGCACGGAGAATTACTTAGGATGAGAAGCATGTTTAAGGTTTTGCGAAACACAAGCAGCAAAAAACCCAAACTGACCTCACGACCATACGATGAATTCAAATCAACGCATCAAAAAAATACACGTTTTTCTGTACTGAAAGTCGTCCATTGAGCTAATGGGACAGCTTAAAATAAAGAATTAAGAGGATTGCGAGGACCAACACAGCAACGATCGAACCAATGATCCATTTATTCCTGCTCATCCTCCTTGACATGGTTGTCAGTATCTTCTTGCTCCTACTAATGTTATCATCTACCCCATGAAGCTGTGAAACAAAGAAACTTGTTTGATCATCACATTTGCATATTTAGATACTCTAAGCTCGACCTTACTTTAACATTTACCTTCTTCACATGAAAACAATAACTTAATTTTAGTTCACATCATATAGAATCTTTAGAAAAACGGCATATTAAAATTGGAGGATCTCTTTTTCTGTGTATGTCTTTTTCTTCTTAGTTCTTCATTCTAGCAGAGGAGACTAACAGATAAAAGACATACTGTGTCATGTGCATGCAGGAGAGACTGACGTTGCCCATGCAAATCTTGAAGAATTGAGACCCCAAGCTCCTCCGTTTCGAGCATCACTTTTCGACCTTGCCTGATCCTGTCACTTGACTGGTTTAGTCTCTCTGTTGACATCATCAACCTTTGTCTTTGATCAGCAGAGACCTATATCCCAATGCATCAACATTTGATTGAGCAATTGCTTAATCTCTGATGAAAGCAATGTTATCACTAGAAGTAGAATATTACTCCCTCTCTGTCCAAATTTATATGTCATACTTCCTTTTTAGCTTCTATCAAAAAGAATGTCAGATTTCCTCGCTTAGAAATAATTCTCATTTTACTCTTAATGAGATGATTTTTAGTCACATAAATGTCTATGGCTTATTTAGACCACAAGTTTGAAATTTTTTTTTTTTTTCTGAATTCCGTACACAGTCAAACACCGTCATATAAATTTTTGATAATATTTTTTTTGATAAGATACACTGTCATATATATTGAAACGGAGGAAGTAGCAAAGGGAGATAGCACAATGGCTCAAAGAGCAATTCGAAGGAAAAGAAAATCATAGATAGCTCAACGAGGCTTGTGGATCATAATAAAGAATGAGAAATAATCTTTTACTGTCAAATATTAACTGACCCAAAACAAAGATATTCTGAAATACAAGAAACAACTTCTTGGAAGAAAAAAAAAGGCCTAAGAGATGGGCTAATTATAGGAAACTATTAAACCTACTTTTTTTTTCTCTACTCAAATGACAGAAAAGACAAACTAAAAATGATATAGGATGGAGAACCCAAAGGTATCATAGTTGTACGACTGGAGACTGAAAAGTAGCAGCTTTTGTTTTTTCCAATCAGTAAACAAGAGGAAAAAAGTAGCAGCATTTTTAAGGAGGAATCAAAGTAAGAGTGAATCTACTTACGCAATCCTCTCAAGGGTTAAAATCAACTTATTGTTCCTTGATAAAAAAAAATGAAAAGCGTTCAGAGAACGCTAGAAGAGAGCTGATTACCATCATGGCATCTGACATTCCAGATTCCAGCAACTCATCCCTTGCAGCTAGGTTAGCATTCGCTGATGTGATTCTTTTAACTTCAGTTTTCAAATTGTTCAGATCACTTTTGTATTCTCTTAACTTGGCAAGAAGTGTGGCCTTCACATTAGGTGGTAAGCTCCGAGCCTCTAGGTCCATTTTCCGAATCTGAAACGTGGATAAACAGAGTCAACAAACAGACAAGCAAAAACATTTAGCTGACGGAACTTTTCTCTGAATTACCAAAGCCTCAGCATCATCCAGACCAGCTTTTATTTCAGACACTTTTTGTTTCTTCTGTTCTGCGATCGTGAAGAACAGATAAGCAGTTAAGAGGAAACAACATTATGTAGTTGTTAAAATGCAATACACATGAATCAAAATTCAAGCAGCAAAAGATATCTGAAAAAGTAACTTCTAAAATATGTTAGATGGTCCCGCATTGGTTGAAAAGATGGGATGTTGTCTTTCATATGGTCTTGGAAAATCCTCACCTCATGATCTAACTTTTTTGTGGCAAGATCCATTTTCCTATCATGGTATCAAAGCCAGACCTATTCTTAGTTTTGGTTTACCCTATGTTGAGCCCCGCGTTATCTTATCCATGCTCAAATCATCAAGGCCAACGTGCGGGGGGTTGTTAGATTGTCTCACATTGGTTGAGGAGGCAATCCTTCCCTCATGAGTTAGCTCTTTTGAGCTTGAGTTAGACCAAAATCCATTTTCTTATTAAGAAAAGGGATAATCTTGAATTAAGCAGCCTGGTTACTTAGCAGACAGCTAATGCATTGAAAAAATATCAAGGAAAATAAATCTAGAAAGCATGTATTTGTTTAGTTCATTTGACACTGTAAATTTAGAACCATGGCATCTACAAGAATGTTCTCCCCTGCCTTATCCATTCCAGTTCTTGGATTTTGACTTCCTTCTCAAACTTTCTTTTGAACGGTTATAACCTATAAGTTACGTCCATACAAAAACCTTAACCAATGATGCATAGAAGAACAAGTAAAATACATCAGAAGTATAACAACGTGGTGATCATCACAAAGAAAGTGCCAGTATATACTCTGAAGTTATCTGGCTAATAGTTAATCAGATTAATGCCGTAATTTGAAGATCTCTGACCTAATTCTAACAAAGTTATATAAAATAACTTTTCAAGAAATACGTTAAAAAAAAAACTTAGAATTAAAAAAAAAGAATTACTTGTATAAAAGCTTAAGGTCAAACATATAACATCTCCTTCTTGTTCTGGCTATCTCCTTTCAGACTATCTTGTTTCCTATTCTATGTGATAGAGTCAAAGCATTTTGGACAGAATCTGAAATAAAGGTTACATTTTTTCCTCTTATAACAATCGAAGTGCACACAACTAATAATTTAAAACGCATGCATTTTGTAAAAGAAAAATATATCAGAATTTGCTAAGTAACTCCATGAGAAAGTTAATCAAGAAGCAAATTCACTATACAACGCACCACCCACATTTTAGCTCAAGTTTTAGCCACCAATTGAACCTTTCATTGTTAATTAAAAGTTCGTTGTACAAACACATCATGTATTCCAGCAAAAAGAGGGCAAAGCCACTCAAATGTTTTTTTTTTTTCCGATATTGAGGATAAATACAGTCGACCTTAACAAGCTTGGGCTGGCTTAGTGGTTGTTGTTGTTGTATTCTTTATGTATCAATCTCAAACTATGTGGGTTCGGCTATATGGGTCCTATGCGTCCATTCAACTCAATATTTTTCGATATCCTTTTTATGTCTCAATCCCAAATCAGTAGGTTTGAGTAACAGGAATCCACTGCATCCACTCTGCTCAAGATCTTTCCATATACTTTTTTATGTCAAAGATTGAAGACAATCAATCACAGATATTTGAGAAGAAATGAGGAGAAAGGAGCTATTATTGTTACTCACCTCCATCGAGGATACTAGCCGAGGTGCACTTCTTCGTTAAATTAGCTGAAAGCTCACAGTATTGTCGCTCATATCCTTCAAACACCTGACTCATCTTGTTCACAAATTACCTTCACATAATAAAAATAATGGTAAATTCAACAAATTAAACAACTTTTCTCCACAATAGATTCGAAATAAACCTAACCGAATACAATTTGTTTAATTGAGTAATACAATTTGTTTAATTGTTATACTCAATCTGTTCACGAATTACCTAAGAGTCACAAAAAGGACACATTAAATTCAATGAATTATGCACCTACTCGATTCACCTACTCAGAAGATTGTTTAACTGTTTACTCATTCTGTCCACAAATCACCTTCATATAGCCCGAAAACCGTAAATTCAACAAATTAAGCCCTTTTCTCCAAATATTATAAACCTAATTGAATATAAATTGACTAACTGTTACCATAGCTGTTCACGAATTACCTTAGATTCACAGAAAGGATAGTTTCTCCATATTAGATTCGAAATAAACCTAATCGGGTAAGAGCTGTTTGCTTTTACACATTTTGTTCACAAATTTACCTTCATATCACAACAAAAAAGCAATTTCAACATACTGAGTACATTTTCTCCAAATTAGGTTAGATATAGACCTAATCGAGTAGCAATTACCAAATTATCACTTCATCCTAACAAGATTTTTGGGAATTAAATCTGAAAATATACATGAGTAATATTATAGCAAACAGAGAATTTTCTAAGCAACAAAATTTTGCACCTTGATCGCCGGCCGATCGGATATCGTTCGGAGATAGAGAAATGACTTTGCTTGGTCGCCTCGAAGGATCTAGAATTATGAACGAGAAATGGTCTTTTGGTCTTTGGCGATTTGCAGAACCGAATGTGTTGCTACCCCGCAACCGTAGAGAGACCAGGTGGACCTCATTTCACGTTCTAAATACTCTATTGCCCCTTGTAGCTCTGTGCTATTGCTTTATTATTTATTTATTTATTCTAAAGTGCTAGTATTGCTTTATGCGTCTACGTGTACTGCATTTTTTTTTTCTTTAAACATTCAACATGAATATTGTTACCAAACAATAAAAGAAGAAGAGTATTACAGAGCAAAATAGAGAGAAAGGGAATTCTTATAGATATGGGATGATTTACAATGAAATAGAACTCCTTTATTTATAGGGAGAGGGTGACTTAGCCACCAAGTAATAAACCCTAAAATCTCTCTAGAATATAGACATTCACCTTGAATAGAATTCTATTTATAACACTCCCCCTTGAATGTCTATTCAATAGATAATGTGCATCGTTAAAACCTTAACTAAATAAAACTCAATGGGAAAAAAATTCTAGTAAAAGAAAAAGAGTACACATATCTAACAATACGCCTTTTGGTTGTCTCGTTAAAAACCTTGCAAGGAAAACCCAGTGAGACAAAAACTTTGTAAGGAAAAAAAGTGCAACGCGCATTAACTCCCCCTGATGAGAGCATTAATTCACATCTTTAAGCATTTGCATTCCAATCTTGTGCACCATCTTCAAACGATCTTTGGTAGAGACTTGATAAACAAATCAGCCATATTAACTTGAATGAATATATTGCATCTTGAATCATCATTCTTGATAGAGATGTAATGTCTTCATAAACTGCCGTAGAATGACCTTTTCAATATCTCCGTAGAGGTATTCTCGCTATCACATTATCATGCTTATAGTTATAGCAAAATACATATGTGCACAAATTACACTTATCATACGGTACTTCGGGACCAAGAATTGTATATGCTTCAAGCGATTTAAATCCTTCAAGGATTGTCATATAAGTTAAGTCATATAAGCCATATAATAGACTTTAGATGCATATCAAGTTTTTATGTCATACTAGACATATAAGATATCGAAAACTGATTGCACATACCATTGACTTTATACTTTCAAGTATTTGAATAACATAGACAAAATTATATGTCTTTTATATGAAACCAATTCTATTCGAATTGTGTCTCTTCCATTTGGCCAATATTTTTGTGTCTATAGGCGACAGACTTAATATCCTCATCTATATTTAGCGCTATAAAAACATAACATAGAGATCTCTTCATTCATATATTCAGGTACCTGAATCTCTCATAAGATTTTATGATGTGTTATGTCATGTGATCTTCTAGATCACTTGCCTCCTTTATTATGATCACTTTGATCATTTGCTCATCTTCTTTATCAAGAAGTTTATTTGAAACCGATTGTCTATATGGTTTAAGCGTACCATAGACTTTGTCCTTCTAGGACTTAATAGGAGCATTTGCAATGAGAATATAGTTACTTTCTTTGGGTCAGCAAATGCGTCTGGCATGCTTTGCAATATATTGCAAATGAATTATCTTTTTACGAACTTCAAGTTCATATTATTTTATTCGAGGATCTAGATATAAAAATGATAATTCATTCCGCGTAATTTTTTCTCAAATGTTATCATCTCTCCCCATCATGTTAGAAAAACTAACTTGCTTCATCATCTTTGTGTGTTATGGTGTTAATCAAAATATACACCGCACATCAATAATA